GGTACCGCCTTACTGAGCAGTGGGTAGTTCTCAGTTGTCACTGTCACAGGATGAATTTTGGGTATAACTACATTTCAGTGCCAGTAAATCTGCAGGGATATGTGGGTTGAAATATTTTTTTGTGTCATATAAATTTAATTTATTCGCGATGACACTGTCTACAGCTATGGTGTTGTTCAATACCCAAATTAATGATAAGAATCCTAACCCATAGGGTAACGTTTTGGCCCTCTCGGTATTTTTTACTTTATGTAAAAATGTATGAAAATTAATAAAATATATTTTGATATACATTATACATACACCTACGTCCTACATATAATTTTTGTATACAACCCCTTTCTTTGATAATATAAGTGTTCGCCACTGGAAGCCACAGTCAGAGACATAATCGATAGATTAATCAATACGATCATTTACGAATTACGACGAAACTAAAAACAAATTACAGCACATATATGATGATAACACTGACGAAAAATGACAGTTAATGATTAGCCGGACTGTTATACTATGGTATAATACAAACTAACCTACATACTTGGATGTGTTGGAATCTTTCTAGCACTTGTATAAAATAATACATCATGTTGTATTATCATATTAGAAGCATAACTGAGAGGGGGGGAGGATTGACAAATGGAATTTTTTATTGATTATGTTTTAATCACAGTTATATAGCCTAAATATATAATACAATACTATGGTAAGTATTTAAATAGCCACTCCCTTGATCGAGCTCCAGTTACGCTACTATATCATAGTGGATAACTGTTATTTATGTTGGTGTATACATGGTTTTATTTCAACTACAATGTAACTTACATAGTTGAATATGTAGGATTCAGTGTCATTCATTTTCGGTATATTCCAGGGCCTGCAAACGTTATATAACGTTATGATTACAACATTATATTTGATAAAAACGATTGAAATTTGTAAATTTTATTATGACGGAAAGCGGTAGTCAAAAATAATTAAATACCGCAAAACAAAACATAACGATTAACAAAATATATAATGTATCATTAAACAAATCATTAAACACGCAAAACTTAATTTATAGAATATCATTAAACGAAAAGTATAACGCAAAACGTAATTTATAGAATATCATTGAACGAAAAATAACGCTAAACGAAATATTTTAAAATATATTTATTTAAAAGGTCTAAATGTTTCGTAGAAACATTTATTTCATGCAAGCAATCTAAGATTTGATTATAATATTATACCCCGTATCCAGTCCATTACCCATCCGCATTAGTTATTATTTTTAAATTTAATAGGTAGGTATTAACAATATTTTAAATAATGATACACGCAAAACATGGATACCTAAAGTTTTAATTCGTTCTGAATAACGATAAACGAAAAAGTTTAATAACGTTTTAATTCTAAATAACGATAAACACAAAAATTGTTATAAATGTAAATAGCATAAAACAGAAATTTTTTCAAATGCAAGCCCTGACTATATTCTTCATCTGCACCATTGACATATTCAATGTAAACGCAACCATATTGTTAAAATATTGATCAATATTCATTTCTATGGTTTATGCTTTGCTGTCTTGGGACAAAATATTGCTGAGTTATGTGTATCTAAAATAGCTGCAACGTGCACACTTGGGGATAAGAATTTTAAATTTATAAAAAAAATTGTTTAAGAACATAATATACTTTGTTTAAAATATTGTATTTCTTTAGAGCACTTTGCTAAACAATATTTTTCAAGAAGAAGTATATTATTAATGAACTCATGTTCAGACTTTAAAACTTTGACAAATAATGACAAAGATAGTTATTCATAATTTTTTTTTCTATTATTAAAAAATGTAATGAATAGGTGCCTACATAGTTATAGACAATTGATAAATCATCTTACTATCCAAGTAATATTATTTATATACCTATTTATTTATTATTGTATTATTATTATTAGTATTATACACCTGAAGGGATGCCAATTAAAAGTTTTGATAAAAATATTTGTTTTATTTGTGGTACCAACTATTAGTGACTGCTAGTGAAGGTATAATTGAACCTACTTTACAACTAACATACAAATTATTTTTCAAAATGATTTATAAATTATTGAATTTGTATTTAAAATAAAATTATTATTTGATCTGTGATGGACGATGGACATAATAAATGGTACCTAACCGTAATGTAAATATATTAGTTGACCGTATCTAATAGAAAATAATATAGTAAATAACATGAATAATTTATTTTACGTTTTATGTTTAAATTTGTTATACTAAAATCAATGACATTTTAAAAATATGTAGATACATTTTAAGCAGGGGCAAGTGGCGGATAAAGTAGGGGGGTAGGAGGTTAGCTGACCCATAGTTAATATTTGTTGATCAAATTGGCCTCTTCTCGGATATTTTATCTTGGGTAGTTGGACACTTGGACCCCCAAATAAACACACATACAGTATAAATGCATTTTTTTATTTTATATACCTAGTACACAAGTATAGATTTCTAATCTGGTTTTAATAAGTGACCCTTTGAAATGTTCTGACACACAGGTTCCTAACTCTGGATCAGATCCTAGCAGTGCCTAACAGTATTTACTTTTGTTTTACTAAATGTAGATACATTTATGAGCTATGAAGAAACTGAACTTGAATTCAAATCTCAAATCTTAGACATAAAAAGAAAAAGAAAATATAACAATAAAAATAAAAAAAATATTAATTTAAAATTAAAAAAACTTGCAAATTTCTATGATTATGTCGAATCGTTTCAAAATCTTTAACTTTAGGCACTCAAAAAAATAGTTTATGAATTTAGGCTCAGATTTTTTTTAATTACACCAATATCTAAATGTTTTTTAACCGACCAAAACAGTTTTTATCGACAATAATTTATAAAAAAAAATAATAAAAATCTAAAATGTATTGTGCCTATAAATAGCTCAAAAAGTTTTTAAAATTGTATGTTGTGCGCACATACAATATTAAACTAATAACGAACATTGATATTATTAACAAAATTATACAATTCAATAATATTATACGAACCAAAAATAGTTGATATGGGCAGTTAATTTCAATGTTCTTTTATTATAATTTATTGCAAAAAATCTCATATGTATAATGTAATGAACATAATCTAAGATCATTCTATTCGTCTCAAATTTGTATGAGTCGATAAATTATTGCGTTTTCAATTTGCTAATCATAATTAAGCTCTATGAATCAAAAATAATATTCTATTAGAGGATAGGTAATACATTCCGGTGATTAATTGATTTTACTAACCGGTGACAATCTCACGGAAATTCAAACAATTTTAATTTTTTTTCTTCTATAACAGCAATCCATTTAAAAAAAAATATATTTATTACTAATAATTATTAACTACACATTTGACAGGCTCGAATTGCCCAAATTGGTTTGACACTTTGGCCACAATTCTTTAACAATTTTATGCATCCCGGATCAAAGGTAATTATTGTTATAAATAAATCACTAAATCAGCACTGCCATACCTAAGTAACTTATAGTGCCTTATAGTGCAGCCATGTGACCATAATGGCTTCGGAAATATAGTGTTGCCTAGTATGGTTTATTTAGAACACAAAAAAGTATATAAAATTAATTCTAGCTTTGTCTCTGGTCAAATCTTAAAAGAAATGTCATTGACGAGAGTAAGCTAGATAAAGCTAGATTAAGTAACTGAAATATCGTAATTCATAAATTTAGAATCCTTTAAAATTCAACAAAACAATAAAACGTTTTAATAGTTACCCTAACAAACCATATAACAATTTGACCAAACAGACAAAATAAGATAAAATTGTATACGTTCGTAAGTTTCACAGCTACAAAAATAAAATATGTATGAATTACCCAAAATAATATTATACCTATAGCATTTTCAATATCAAGTCTTGTTACGTTGATATTTGAGATTTTTCTAGATTATCCTGCTACAGAATTATTTGATCACGAAAAGCGTACATAATAAATTCGAAAAAATTATAAATCATTAAAATAAAAGGACAAAAAATCTTAACATTTGAAAAACAAAAACAAATAAATGAATAAGGTGATATACTATTATATTTTTTCATACCCATCATGTATGAAACTTAACTAGAAGTGGTTTGATAAATCATTAAAACAAAAAATACAAAAAAAAAACCCTAGAACTTGAATTGTTGTTGAATAAAATATTTACTAACAACAATGTATAACGTGTTATACTAGTTATTTAATAACTATGTATGAAACTTGACTAAAATGTATTTTTCTTCAGGTTGTAGCAAATTTTGAGTTTTTGATATTTTACTTAATAAAAAGTAAGGTATTTTACTACTTTTGTATGCTTTATACCCGTTATTTTTCAGTCCATTTCCTTTTTTATAGTAAAATTCAAAACATGGTCCTTAATACCCACACAGCATTATAATGTTTTCTGGATATGAAAAAAATATTTTCAGGAAAATTATGTAGTTGTCAAAATATTTTTTAATAGCTGTTAAAAAGTTGTGCAAATAATTAGAAAATATTTTTTTAACATTTTTTGGCCAAGAAGTTTACGTTTTCAAAATATTTTTTTACAATATTTTTATAATGTATGATTGTAATATTTCGAAAATGTGAACTTCTTCAAAACTAAATATTAATGGAATATTTTCTCATTATTTTTGCCACTCTTTAGCAATGATCAACAAATATTTTAGAAATTATATAATTTCACTGAAAATATTTTCTTATATTTATGAAATATTTGAATTATTATAATTATAGTTGTTGAATAGGTACTTTTAAGTGAAATGAATTAAAAAAAATACAATTTTAATGATATTAATATGTTTTATAAATTTTTATTTATTTACTTAACAATATAATACACTATTGTTATTATTCAAAGAGAAAAACAATTTGTCAATTAAACATAATATATTATAATATCATATAGCCAATGAGATTTTATTAACTGTAACTTATTGTTAATAAAAAATCATGTAATAATTTAAATCAAAATAGCATTGTTATCTTCTTTATTTTTTCTTTTTAAATCCCTGAACTTAGCTCCTGCTAAATAATCTTTGAGTGGTTTTTCTATATTTAAAGATGGGACATCTTTAAATTGCTTGATGTTTCTTATTGCATCTGTAACAGTTATAATACACCATTAATATGTGTTATACATATTGACAATATAAATTATATATATAAAAACACATATATAATAGTTTACTGAGATAATATTATATATAAATATAATTATGACTTGTTCTTGGGAGGTCACCAATATAGAATTGGTTGAGGAAAAATTTTGTAAGCTACAGTAATTATAAAATAATGCTAGGTTGCATGAACAATCACTAATTTTATTTATTGAATCAATAGTGAACCAATAATGGACCCTTAAACATGTTTTTGTGGCCCATTAAATTAATTAATTTGATATACAGCCTGTCAGGCATTAATGTTTTTATGCTTACCAAATATAACTGAACAGGCATTTAAGGAAGAAAATGCCAATTTCTTTTTTTGGCCAACAAATGAATATTGCGATAAGACACTATTAACGAACATTCTTGATAAAATATGGCGCACTGTTTCAGACAAAGAACTGCGGACCAACATACTAAGATTCTTTACCTGTAATCAATTTTATTTATGTATTTATGGAATCATATATAAAAATAATAACTCTATATATATTATAATATAGTAATTGGGAAGTATATATACATAATATATTGTGTTTGATAATAATATAAATTAAACAAAATATTTACTATTTTGAAGCGAAATGTTTTATCCTGTAGTTTTTTTTCAAATAATGAAACTTCATTTACAGTATAGTCTGTTCATTTTAAGAAGCGATTCGGCGGCCACTAGTAAAACCGGTTTTCAAGCGTAAATCAGGTCGCTTCTTATTTTGAACAGGGTATAGTGATAGGGAAATTCCATGAAACTGCATCATCAGATGATTGGTTGTCCAATTCAAATTCATCATATTTGCCTTGATTTTCCAACCGATCAACCTTTGATAGGAGTTCTTTTATATCATATTTTAAAGATAGTACAATTCGGTATATTTTGTTCATCTTATCTAAAACAAATATATTATATAATGATATAACTAAAATTATTGAGTTTAATAATTAAAACTAAAAATTAAATGTATACCGGTTGACTCTAAATCGAATTCTTTTGGTTCTGAATGAAAATTCAACTTTTTTTTACAAGATACAGTTTTCAATTCTTCATCTAGTACTAGTTCTTTGATTGGAGACGGAGTTATGATCCATGCCTTTTGAATAGGACTTCTATAATTTTCTTCCATATCGTCTGTACTGGAGATTTTCCTAACCAACCATTTACGAGGAGATTTTTCGACACCTGTAAAAATTTAAAACTTTTTTTTATAATAGCTTTATGAGATAGCATATGTTTAATTATAAATCAAACACCTCTATAATATAAAAATAAAATATAATAGATAAATGTACATACTAAATTCATGAGAGGTAGACGACATCATAGATTTTTTATTGGTATTAGTTTGTAGCATATTATTTTTCTTTGATGATTTGACTGGCAACATATCATTTTCACTTTCATCAGAATCTAAAATAGTAAACATAGCAATCAGACATTTTAATTATACAATTTAAAAATATAATATAATAGATAAATGTACATACTAAATTCATGAGAGGTAGACGGCATCATAGATTTTTTATTGGTATCAGTTTGTAGCATATTTTTTTTCTTTGATGATTTGACTGGCAACATATCATTTTCACTTTCATCAGAATCTAAAATAGTAAACATAGCAATCAGACATGTTAGTTATACAATTTAAAAATATAACGTCTCTTTTATATAGGGCTATCAGTTCATCACTATTTTGCATTTCCTAATACTTTTTACTTTATTACCTATTCCGAAATACTATATTACTATGAACTTTATGAATGCAAATAAGAATTTATTAGTATAAAGAAAACAAAATCAAATTATGAGCTGATGACAATATTAAAATTTAGAGCCCTCGTCAGCTATATAAATGTTAAACTTTTAAACACCTATAATCCAAAAATAAAATATAATAGATAAATATACATACTAAATTCATGAGAGGTAGACGGCATCATAGATTTTTTATTGGTATTAGTTTGCAGCATATTTTTTTTCTTTGATGATTTGACTGGCAACATATCATTTTCACTTTCATCAGAATCTAAAATAGTAAACATAGCAATCAGACATTTTAATTATACAATTTAAAAATATAATGTCTCTTTTATATAGGGCTATCAGTTCATCACTATTTTGCATTTCCTAATACTTTTTACTTTATTACCTATTCCGAAATACTATATTACTATGAACTTTATGAATGCAAATAAGAATTTATTAGTATAAAAGAAAACAAAATCAAACTATGAGCTGACAATATTAAAATTTAGAGCCCTCGTCAGCTATATAAATGTTAAACTTTTAAACACCTATAATCCAAAAATAAAATATAATAGATAAATATACATACTAAATTCATGAGAGGTAGACGGCATCATAGATTTTTTATTGGTATTAGTTTGTAACATATTATTTTTTTTTGAAGATATGACTGGCAACATATTATCATTTTCATTTTCATCAGAATCTAAAATAGTAATCATAGCAATCAGACTTGTTAGTTATACAATTTAAAAATATAACGTCTCTTTTATATAGGGCAGTCAGTTTATCACTATTTTGTATTTCCTTATACTTTTTACTTTATTATCCCAAAATACTATATAATTTATTAATTTATATGAAGAAAACAAAATCAAATTATGTCCTAACAACTTTAAAATTTAAGACCCCTCATCAACTATTACAAATTGAATTGACCATCTTACAAATTACAATTATACTAACAAAACATATTTATAATTTATACGTACTTTTAACACCATGCAAATTATCAACATCTTTGATCATTGTTTTTTTGTAATTGGGTGGACTTTTGTAAATATTTTTATTTTTGAGGTTTAATGATGATTTATTTTTTTTACTTTGCTCTTTATAATAAACGTCTTCATCAACCGATGATAACTCCGATGTAATTGTTGCTTTATTTGCTTTTAATTTAGCTTCGCTTAGAGAATCTGAAATTAAGTAAATAAAATAACATACAAATAATGTTAGGTAAGTGCCTTTTTGTTGAATATTTAAGTAAGTACACTGATACTTACATGTTTTTTCACCCATTTTCTTAGCTTTTAGTATTTCATGTCGAAACTCTTCAGGTTTTATATTTTGTTCAATAAGTTTATTAATATTTTGACCTTTTTTGGGCCACACACAAGATCCATTACTATACCAAGTGTTTGGTACTGCCTCCACAGAATTATCGTTTTGGAAATCAACTACTATATACATGATTACTAAAAATAAATTATTTTAAGTATAATTAACAACTAAATAAAGAAATATTTTACTTTACAAGAAAAATATAGATTTAAGAAGAAATATTAATATTGATGAGAAATACTGTTAATATTTTTAAACAATATGTCAATATAGTATATATATTCAAACAGGTACAATTACTATTATTTCATGCTGCTATCATAATATAAAATTGACAAAAATTAAAATTAAGAAAGTGAAACATATACACAATCATATTTATATTAGTTAGGTATAGTAATATTCAATAGTCACCTATTATCTTAAAATAAAAACTATAATTCACATGAATGAACTACAGGCATTGCAATGTTATTGTTTTTGTGTTTAAATAAAATCATTTTTTTCTTGACATCTATTAGATACCAAAATGCATAGACATCATCCAATTCACTTACAATATATATATGGAACATTGATGAATTAATTGGTTGTTCAAAAAATGGTTTTTTAACTTTGAAAATTTTCCCGATCAGTACCGTGTCATTAGTATTTCTTTCAGTTGCAATGTTGTTTACTTGTACAACATTGTCATCTTTTGTCAATATATAAGAATCTGATTCTCTTTTTGTTTTAATAACAAATCTGTTTAGATAAATTGTCCGGTATTGTGGGTCAGTAAGGTAATTTAATAATGGCCCGTTTGAATGCTGATGCTTTAAATTTATTTCAATTTTTAATTTTTTAATTTGTTTATTTATTGCTTCTTCATGGTATCGTTTCACAACCTGTTGTAATGGTTTTTCTTGTTTTCTTACTTTTTTTTTTAAATATTTCATAAAGTTTTCAAATGGAAAACAACTTATATTATCTAGTGGGCCAAAATTTTTGTAATCATCTACTAAATGCAAAAGCCCATGTACATTGTAAGATATTAAGTATGGTTCATAAATGGTTCCAAAGTATTGAACAAAATGATTCAAAAGTTGTTCTGCATAATCAATAAAATCTCCTTTGTCTGGACTCAGTAGTATTAACATCGCAATATTAAAAGACATAAAATGCTTATAGCAATCTTCATTTAAAATTGTTTTCAGAACTATTGGCCCTGTATACAATAAAAATTGTCTAAGTTCAGTAGCCTTCCATCTACTAATTTCATTTACGCCTCTTGGTTTTCGAGAAAATTCAGATGTCAAACATGGTGCAAGTAATAAAAGGGACGTGGATAATATTTTAGTTTTAGAACTAGGAATTCTAACTTTTAATGGTCCATTGTCAATCCATAAAAGTATAATTTTCTTTGTAACACCAAGGCATGTAAGATGCATATAATCAAGTACAAAAGATTTCACTATGTCAATATTTGGTAAATCTATTAGTATAGATACTAAATCACTTGTGTGATGTTCTTCATGTTTTTTTGTTTGGTAATCATTATGGGTACGAGTAATAGATCCAGTTGGAATATAGGGAAAACATGATCGTTTATTTAAATATTCACCTTCATGTAAACAACGACTACATGAATGATATCCTGTATGGCCTTTAGTTTTTAACACAAAAGACCTAGCTGGAGCATCTAGACAAAAAGCATCGATTGTAACTGTCTTATGTATATTATTAATTGTAATACCACTTTCTAAAAGTTCTTTTGCTTCCAGAACAAACTTTTCCAAATATAAATTACTATCTTGTGGCTTTTTATAGCCCCAATATAGGCCAATAAGAAATACAAAATTATTATAAGGTCGAATATATCCAAGTATCGGCCAAAATTGACTGGTACTACTTTTGGTTAAAGGCAAACCATCTATGCCAATTACAATTTCAATAGCACCTGTTTCAGTATTTGATGTAATATGTTTGAAATGTAATTGAATACCTGTAGCTAGACCAAAATGGTAATATTCACCTGGTTCAACTTTATAAACTTGTAGTGCAGTTTGGGTGGTTAATATACTCATAACAGTTCGGCTATCTTTTGGCAGATTAATCAGATTAAAAGGATCACTACGTAAAACATCAAGTAAACCATTTAAAGTATTTTGATTAACATTAAAATTAACTGACCATTCTGATATTTTCTGTTTCATTAATGCAGTTGTATTATAAAGATTTTTATCATTATCATCATGTAAACTAATTAAATTTGGTATGGAAATATTGGCGGCATTAGATAAATTAGTTGAAATTAATGATTTTGGAAATTGATGAATTGAACCAACATCAGG